GGAGAGTTGCCTTTAAAGCACATTATTTTGTTATCAAAGCTAGAAGCAGTGTGGCTGAAGTGAGACTCAGATTTCAAACCCCTCTACTTTGAACAGGAAGGGTCCCTGGGTGACCTGGCTTCTGATCAAAGATTTGGGAAATCCTAAGCCTTCCTTTGAGTTCTGGCTGAGGCAAGTAGAGTTGATTTGCAGATATCCTCACTTCATGTTCTAAAGTTTTGATTCAGCTCAATGTGGACCCCGACAAACATTCCCTTTCCCACCATCCCCTGGCTGTGAGCTGATGCTGACTTGAGTCCCCTACTGACTTAAGCATATTTTTTAAAATTAAAAACAAGCTTTGTTCCCTAATACAAAATTGTACAGTAAGTCCTCACTTAACAGTACCAATAGTTTCTTGGCAATTGTAACTTTAAGTGAAATGACATGTAACAAACCATTTTTTTCCTCATCAATGTTATGATGTTAATCACGATTTTGAAGACCTGCTGTAAATCACTTCATTTCATCACTTAGCTGTTGACATTGAAAACTTACATCAAGTAACTTCTTTGTCAAAAAGTTAAAAAATAGTGTGATTAAAATCTGGAAAATAAAATAATACCCACACTCTCACCATACATGCACACACAGACACACACACATACAGACACACACACACACACACACACACACTTGTTTTTGTATGCGTGTTGCATAATAGAATTTCATGTACAGGTGCTTCAAAACTTATGATGAGGTTATGTCCTAAGAAACTCATAGGGTGTTAAAAATATTATAGTTTGAAAGTGCTTTTAATACATCTGGCCTACAGAACATCATAGCTTAGCCTAGCCTACCTTCAATGTGCTCAGAATACCTACTTTAGCCTACAGTTGGGCAAAGCCACCTGGTAACACAACACTAGAGAGTAGGGGTTGCTTATCCTCCTGATCATGTGACTGATTAGGAGCTGTGCTCCCTGCCTCTGGCTAGCACTGTGAGTGAGTAACATTCTGCAGATTCCGAGGCTGGAAAAAGACCAAAATTCAACATTTGAAGTGTGGCTTCTGTAGAATCCATATTTCTTTCACATTTTCAGAGTTGAAAAGTCTTAAATTGAACCATTGTAAATTGGTGATCATCCATATTAATATGTTGATAATGTGTTATTATATGTATAAATATACATATATATTAATCTTTAATATTATTAGCTATTAAGGCTAAAATAATGTACTGTAATCATTTCTGCTCATCTTCTATTTTGTTGGTATTTAGTTTTCTTTCAATCTAATCAGAACTCATGGCTGAAAACAAGCCAGGAAAGAATTTCAGCTAAAGAAATTTGAGGGTGGCCAGACAGACATTTGGGTGTGAAGGGAAAGTATAGCCTAGTAATCTTCAAATCTCCTTTATTCCTGTGAGCACCAGCTCTTTTCAAGATACATTTTTTTTTTAATCTCCATCTAATTAGTTAGCACAAGTTTCAGGAAGATTCTATGAGGATATTCTCGACTTCTTAAAACTCTATTTTGAAAGACATATTCTTATCTCTGGATCTCTTAACATTTTAAAATAATAATTGACACACATGCATACACTATTTGGGATCAAAAGCCCAACTTAAAACACTGTTTTGGGTAAATTCCTCCTCTACTTATGGGGAAAAACATCTCATTTTCAAGAATTCATGTGACTTTAGAAAAAATTTCATTTCATGTCATGGGAAAAATATTCTATTAGCCTAAGATTTCAAAACCTCAGAAGTTTTAATTTTTGTTTCCTAAAAAATATCTTAGAAAAACAACTGTAATAGCATCTGGAAGTCAAAAGATTCAGTTAAGTCCTCTCACAGAACTCAGAAAGCATTATTAATTTGATTTCTTGGGAGAGTTCAGTAGGGGAAGTCACTTATCACAGATTTTTTTACAAGGCTTTGTCATTTTTCATATGTGTATGTGTACATGTGTTATGTGTACCTGTATTATAAAAAGTACCTTCTCCATTGTTTGTTTCTGTCAGATTTGTCAAAGATCAAATGGTTGTAGATGTATGGTGTTATTTCTGTGGCCTCTGTTCTGTTCCATTGGTCTATATATCTGTTTTGGTACCAGTACCATGCTGTTTTGATTACTGTGGCCTTATAATATAGTTTGAAGTCAGGTAGCATAATGCCTCCAGCTTTGCTCTTTTTGCTTAGGAGTCCTGTCTATTCAGACTCTTTTTTGGTTCCATATGAAATTTAAAGTAGTTTTTTTTTTTCTAATTCTGTGAAGAAACTCAGTGGTAGGTGATGGGAATAACATTGAATCTATACATTACTTTGGGCAATATGGCCATTTTCATGATATTGATTCTTCCTATCCCTGAGGATGGAATGATTTTTTCCATTTGTTTGTGTCCTCTCTTATTTTCTTTAGCAGTGGTTTGTAATTCTCCTTGAAGAGGTCCTTCACATCCCTTGCAAGTTGTTTTCCTATGTATTTCATTCTCTTTGTAGCAATTGTGAATGGGAGTTCACTCATGATTTACCTCTCTGTCTGTTATTGGTGTATAGAAATGCTTGTGATTTTTGCACATCGATTTTGTATCCTGAGACTGCTGAAATTGCTTATCAGCTTAAGGAGATTTTGGGCTGAGATGATGGCATTTTGTGAATATGCAATCATGTCATCTGCAAACAGAGACAATTGGACTTCCTCTCTTCCTATTTGAATACCTTTATTTCTTTCTCTTGCCTGATTGCCCTGGCCAGAACTTCCAATACTATGTTGAATAGGAGTGGTGAGAGAGGGCATCCTTATCTTGTGCTGGTTTTCAAAGGGAATGATTCCAGCTTTTGCCCATTCAGTATGATATTGGCTGTGAGTTTGTCATAAATAACTCTTATTATTTTGAGACATGTTCCATTAATACCTAGTTTATTGAGAGTTTTTAGCATAAATCAGTGTTGAATTGTATCAAAGGCCTTAACTGCATCTATTGAGATAGTCATGAGGTTTTTGTCATGGATTACATTTATTGATTTGCTTATGTTGAACCAACCTTGCATTCCAGGGATGAAGCCAACTTGATAGTGGTGGATAAACGTTTTGATTTGCTGCTGGATTCCCTTTTTAATAAATGGTGTTGGGAAAACTGGCTAGCCATGTGCAGAAAACTGAAACTGGACCCCTTCCTTACACTTTATACAAAAATTAATTCAAGATGGATTAAAGACTTAAACATAAGACCTAAAACTATAAATACCCTAGAGGAAATCCCAGGCAATACCATTCAAGACGTTGGCATGGGCAAATACTTCATGGCTAAAACACCAAAAGAAATTGCAACAAAAGCCAAAATTGACAAATGGGATCTAATTAAACTAAAGAGCTTCTGCAGAGCAAAATAAACTATCATCAGAGTGAACAAGCATCCTACAAATTGAGAGAAAATTTTTGCAATCTATCCAACTGACAAAGGGCTAATATCCAGAATCTACAAAGAACTTAAACAAATTTACAAGAAAAGTAACAAACAACTCCATCAAAAAGTGAGCAAACAATATGAACAGACACTTCTTAAAAGAAGGCATTAATGTGGCCAAAAAACATATGAAAAAAAGTTCATTATCACTGGTTATTAGATAAATGCAAATCAAAACCACAATGAGATACCATCTGATGACAGTTAAAATGGTGGTCATTAAAAAGTCAGGAGACAACATATGCTGGAGAGGATATTGAAAAATAGGAATGCTTTTACACTGTTGACAGAAGTGTAAATTAGTTCAACCATTGTGGAAGACAGTGTGGCAATTCCTTAAGGATCTAGAACCCAGAAATACCATTTGACCCAGCAATCTCATTACTGGGTATATACCCAAAGGATTATAAATCATTCTTTTATAAAGACACATGCATACCTATGTTTATTGCAGCACTATTCACAATAGCAAAGACTTGAAACCAACCCAAATGCTCATCAATGATAGACTGGATAAATAAAATATGGCACATGTACACAATGGAATACTATGCAGCCGTAAAAAAGAATGAATTCATGTCATTTGTAGGGACATAGATGAAGTTGGAAATCATCATTCTCAGAAAACTAATACAGGAACAGAAAACCAAACACTACCTCTTCTCACTCATAACTGGGAGTTTAACAATGAGAAACCCTCGACACAGGGTGGGGAACATCACACACTGGGGCCTTTCAGGGGGTTAGAGGGCTAGGGAAGGGATAGCATTAGGAGAAGTGCATAATGTAGATGATGGGTTGATGCGTGCAGCAACCACTATGGCACATGTAAACCTATGCAAGAAACCTGCACGTTCTGCACATGTATCCAGGAACTTAAAATATAATGATAAAAAAAATAAAAAAAAATCATCTTCTGTGCCTTTTATGCTTCTGGTTTAGGATGTTAATGCTACTTACTGTGATTGTTCCAGTTGTGTTGTCTGTATTATTTTCTTTCAAATTTTGTGAAATAAATTCTCTATCTGAATGAGAAAAAGAAAAGCCACAGCCGTCTCTGATTTTCCTCTAGAGAGACACCTAGTTTCAAATTCAAGCAGAACAGATGGTTCTGAGCCCTTGATGGTCACTGCCTATGCACTTTCTTTTAATGACTACTGTAAGTAAATGTCAAAATGTCTTGTTCATTCAGAGATTAAAATGGCTCTGCATGGTTAAGGGGCAGCTTGACTTGGTAGAAGGATGCTTGTTTTCCAAAGGCCTGGGCTCAACTCTTGGGTCTGTGAATTCATAGTTATGAAATCTTAGGTAAGTCCTTCTACCCTACTTAAACTGGATTTCCATATCTGTAAAGAAGCAAGCTCAGTACTTCTCTGAATGTGTGTAAAGTGATAAAAATCAGATAAAACAATGAATTAAAATAAAAACATAGTGTGTCAAAATCTGTGGGTTTATATTAAAGCAGAAATCACCATTAGAAAAAACTGGTAAGCCCAAGGAGGAGGTACTGCAAAGACCTATGGGAGCGACCCGGGAGAAGGAGGGCCAACATGGCGGAAGCGGAGGAGTCTCCAGGAGGCCTGGGGACAGCATCGCCCAGGCCCCTGCCCTACCTACCTTCTTTATTATTTTGAAGCAAATCTCAGGCATCATTACATTAGTAAATATTTGTTTGCAGGCCTTTCAAATAAATCCATCTCACAAGACATTCCAGTAGAAGGAGAAATCACCATTCCTATAAGATCTCGCATCCGGGAATTTGACAGCTCCACATTAAACGAATCTGTTCACAATACCATCATGCGTGATCTAAAAGCTGCTGGGAAAAAATTCATGCATGTTTTGTACCCAAGGAAAAGTAATACTCTTTTGAGAGATTGGGATTTGTGGGGCCCTTTGATCCTTTGTGTGACACTCGCATTAATGCTGCAAAGAGACTCTGCAGATAATGAAAAAGATGGAGGGCCCCAGTTTGCAGAGGTGTTTGTCATTGTTTGGTTTGGTGCAGTTACCATCACCCTCAACTCAAAACTTCTTGGAGGCAACATATCTTTTTTTCAGAGCCTCTGTGTGTTGGGTTACTGTATACTCCCCTTGACAGTAGCAATGCTGATTTGCCGGCTGGTACTTTTGGCTGGAGCAGGACCTGTAAACTTCATGGTTCGGCTTTTTGCAGTGATCGTAATGTTTGCCTGATCTATAGTTGCCTCCACAGCTTTCCTTGTTGATAGCCAGGCTCCTAACCGCAGAGCCCTAGCTGTTTATCCTGTTTTCCTGTTTTACTTTGTCATCAGTTGGATGATTCTCACCTTTACTCCTCAGTAAATCAAGAATGAAAAATTAAAAACCAGTGAATTGAAAGCAAAAAAAAAAAAAAAAAAAAAAGAAAAAAAAAAAAAAAAAGAAACAACTGATAAAATCAATGATCTAAGCATGTATCTTAAGGATATTGAAAAATATGAGAAAATTAAACACAAATTAATAGAAGAAAGAAAGAATCAGGGCAGAAGACATTGAAATAAAAATCTAACAAAATAGAGATTATGATAATCTAAAACTAATACATTAAAAAGAGTAATAAAATTGTCAAACCTCTAGCTAGGCTGATCAAACAAAAATAAAGAAAACACAAATTAACCATATCAGTAATAAATGAACAGCTTTAGATCCTTCAGTCATTAAACGTTTAACAAGGGAATACAATAAACAACTTTATGAGGATAAATTTGTCAATATAAATTTATCACACAAAATTATATAATTAACAATTGCAATATTGATATAAGCAGAACTTTAAAATACGGATAGTTCTATAAATGGTTTTTTAAACCACTTAATTTGAAGTTAAAATGATTACCATTGAATTGTCTTGGAATCTATGTTGAAAATCAATTGATGTGAATGTATTGGTTTATTTCTGAATTCTTAATTCTGTTCCATGGATCTATATATCAATTTTTATGCCAGTAGCATGTCTTAATTACTGTTGCTTTGTAATAAGATTTGAAATAGGGAAGTGTGAATCCTACTTTGTTTTTCTTTTTCAAGAATGTTTGAGCTCTTTAAGCATCCTTGCTATTTCATATGAATTTAAGAATAGGCTGTTCCACTACAGTAAACAACAATAAAAAAAGGTATTAAAATGTTCAAAGGTATTGCATTGAACCTGTGATCATTTTTTGGTAATATTGACATCTTAACAATATTGTCTTTCTACCCATGAACATGGAATGCCTTTTCACTTACTAAGGTCTTCTTTAATTCTTTCATCATTGTTTTCTAGTTTTTAGTGTGCAAGAAATATACTTATTTTGTTAAATACATCCGTAAGACCTTTATTGTTTATGATATTACTCTGAGTAGTATTATTTTATTAAATTCATTTTTGGATTGTTCATTGTTAATGTATAGAAATATAACAAATTTCTTTATATTGATGAGGAATCCTGAATTTATTACTTCTAATAGTTTGTGTTTGTGTGTGTGTGCGTGTGTGTGTGTGTGTGTGTGTGTGTGTGTATGAGTGCATGTTGATGCCTTAGAATTTTCTAGGTACAAGCTCATGTAATCTGCACATAAGCTACATGGAGGTAGTTTTTTTGTCTTTCAAAACTGTATGCCTTTCATTTTTCCTTATCTAATTGCCCTGGCTAGATTTTCCAGTATAATGTTTTATAAGCAGTGAGAGCAGACATCCTTGTCTTGTTCTTGATGGGCATAAGCATTCAGTCTTTCACCATTTAGTGTGGTTAACAATGGGTTTAGGATAGATGGTTGTTACCAGGTTCAGGAAGCTTCCTTCTCTTCCTAGTTTGTTGAGTGCTTTTGTCATGAATAGGTGTTGATGTGTCAAATGCATTTTATTTGCATGTTGATGATTATATGGTTTTTGCCTTTATTTTATTAACATGGTATATTACATAGTTTGATTTTCATACATTGAGCTAACCTTGCATTTCTGGGGTAAATATCACTTGATCATTTTGTATGATACTTTTTATATGTTGTTCAGTTCACTTTTCCAGTATTTTGTTTACAACTTTTTGGGGAGGTGGTCTTTTCATAAGGCATGCTATTTAAGTGTTTTCTTTTCCTGTGATGTCTTTGGTTTGGGAATCAGATTAATACTGGCCTCATAGAATGAGTTGGTAAATGTTATCTTTTCTGTCTTTGGAGGAGTCTGTCAATGATTGTAGTTAAGTCTACTTTATTTATTTATTTATTTATTTATTTATTGAGACAAAGTCTGGCTCTATTGCCTAGGCTGAATTGCAGTTGTGCCATCTCCACTTCTGCTCACTGCAACCTCCGCCTCCCAGGATCAAGGCATCCTCCCACCTCAGTCTCCTGACTAGCTGGGACTACAGGCATGCAACACTATGCCTGGCTTTTTGTCTCTTTTGTAGAAACAGGGTTTCACCATCTTGCTTCAAACTCATTAATTCAAGTGATCTGCTAGCTGCAGCCTTCCAAAGTGCTGGAATTACAGGCATGAGCTATCGTCCATGGTCAAGTCTACTTCGAACATTTGGTAGATTTTTGTCAGTAAAGCCATCTGGACCTGAATTTTCCTTTGTGGAGAATTTTTGGATTACTATTTATTAACTTTGTTATAATTTTATTTAGATTTTCTATTTCTTTTTGAGTCAATTTTGGCATTTCTTTTTTTGTAGGAATTTGTTCATTTCATGTAGATTTTTAAATTTGTTGGCATACAATTACTCATAGTGTTCCTTTATAATCCTTTATATTTTTATAAGCTTGGGAGAAAGGTCTCTTCTTTCATTTTTTATTTTAGTTATTCATGTCTTTTTGGCTGTTGTTCTTGGTCGGTGTAGCTAATTATTTGACAATTTCATTGATAGTTTTTGAAGAGCCAACTTTTGCTTTTGTGTTTTCCATTGTTTCCATTCTATTTCATTGATTTTTCATTCTAATGTTTTATTTGTGCTTTGGCTGTAGATTATTCTTCTTTTTCTAGTTTTTTCAGGTGGGAGGCTAGGCTATTGATTAGAAAACTTTCTTTGTAAAACACTTAGTCATTTATAGGTATAAATTTTCCTTTAATCGCTGGCTTTGTTACATTTCATAAATTCTACATATTGTCTTTGATTTCTTTCATTTCAAAATATTTTCTAATTTTTCTTGGGTTTTCTTCATTAACCCTTTGGTTATTTAGCAGTGTGTTGTTTAGTTTTCACACATTTATGAATTTTCCTAGTTTTCTTTTCTCATTGGTTTCTAATTTAATCTTGTTACAGAGAAAACACCTTATAAGATTTTAATTCTTTCTAATTTATTGAGGCTTGTCATATTTCATGTCCACTTGAGAAGAAAGTGCACTGTACTATTGCTTGGTGGTACATTTTTGTCTTTTTATATTTTTAATTTTTCTAATGAGTGCTATAAGAATTACTATACACATTTTAATTCATTACAATCTATTTAATATTATTAGTTAATAATATAACACTTGATATAAAATGTAGAAATCTTCCATTCACATAGCTCTTTTCAATTTCATCTACCACTGAACTTTATGCCTCAGTTGTCATTTTTATTATATTGACATATGTTGAAAATTCCAGATGACAACATTGTAATTTTTGCTTTACATAATTACATGTATTTTAAGATACGTAAAGGGAAAATAATCTTTTATGTTTACACAAATGTTTAACTTTTCTGGTTTTCTTCCTTTATTTATGAAAACTCAAGTTTTCCCCTTTATTTTTGCCTTTAGCCTGAAGAGCTTACTTTAGCATTTCTTGCAGAGTTGGTCTGTTGACAAAAACTTCTCTTAATTTTTTTTCAGCGGAAACTATCTTAATTTTCCTTTATTTCTGTAGAATTTTTTTTAGATATGGAATTCTATATTGATAGTTTTTTTTTTCTTAATCTCAGCACTCTAAAGATTTTTTACCATATTATGGTCTCCATAATTTCTACACATCAGATGCTACTGCAAATCATGAGCAGGCTAATATTAATATATTAATTATAGTATTAATTATATTTAATTAATATGAATATCTATTAATATCAATCATTATATTATTGTGTTGCTATCAATTATATATTAATAATTATATTATTAGTTAATATTAAATTTCTGAAAATTCACAGTACTGATTTCTAATATTCACAGTACTGATTTCTGAAAATGAACTTGTATCCAAGTTATATAAAAATTTTAATAACTCAGTAATAAAAATACAAATAACAATAAAGTTGGCTGAAAGGTTTTGAATACATTTTTAATAAAGATATGTTACACATAACAAATGAGCAAATAAACGTGTTCAATATATTTTGCTATTTAATGAAATACAAATGAAAACCAAATGAATAACTAAAATAAAAAAATGAGATAGCAAAATATTGGCAAGGGTCTGGAATGGAAACTTTGTTTATAAAACTATAAAATGGCACATACACTTTGGAAAATTTTTAGTTTATTTTAATTTAAATATATATCTGCCCATGACCCTTCAATTTTACTGATAGATATTTTCCTGAGAGAAATAAAAACATTTGATTACATGTAGCATATAGATTGGAAAAACATTGTTCATGGTAACTTTGCTGATCAAAGTCACAAACTGAAAATCAAGCAAATGTTCAAAAGCAGGAAATGGCTTAACAAATTATGATATATTAATGAAATAAAAATGTATTCAACTACTAAGACACACAATATTCTCAAAGCATAATGCTGAGTATTCTTTTGCTCAAACAAAAAAGTATTTCCTTTATAATTATATTTGTATGAGGTTCTGAATTAGGCAAAACTAACATATGGGGATAAACATTAGAATAAATGCAATTTCTCTTAAGGTTTTATTTTAATATTTATAATCCAGTGTCAAAGTTATTTAATTAGTAAGAACCTATCATTCTGTCTACCTACTTACCTATCATCTCTCTAATATGCCTTATATATATCTTATATCTAATAGATATATTAAATATTTAGGTAGTATATAAGATTATAATCATACATGTGCAGAGGCGATGATGGAGAGAGTAGGCTAATAAAATAATAGTAACATATATGGAGACTTCTATATAGTTATCTTAATAGCTTCCTATTTCCTTTCACATTCCTTATTTTCCAGCAGTTTCAACACACTGCTTTATGTCTACTTCGATCTTCAATTGGCCCAGCCTCACCATGAGAACAGCTTTCTTGAATGTCACCAATGAGAATCATTAGGCTATATCTAGTGGATACATTTTACTGTCTAATGGTGACAACCTCTTAAAGTACCTTACTTTTTCACTTCTATAGCTCTAATGTTTCATAATATTCCTCCTCCATTTGAGTAAGTTTTTTCTAACTCCTTTTTGGGGACATCT